TAACTGACCCGAACATTGACTCATTACCCATTCGGTTATATGTGAACAAACCCGATTATATCTAACAGAACTTACTCCCTGTTTACTTGAATGTTCATTCTTCTGTGAGTTTTGCAATTAAATTCTCTCACATCAGGGGCTTGAACTTACTCCCTTTTTAGCAATCCTTGGATAATCATAGTACCTGGTACTCTGGTAGACTGGTACATCATGAATAATGTTTATATTCTCAAAAGTTGTTCTTTGACTCCATATATACTTGTCTATGCAGATGTGCAATAGTGTTGTTCAGACATTTTGTCTAGCTGTTTTTACCTTATTCACCTAACACACTTTTCCATAAGCAGGGATTTTCAAGAGTTAGATGATATGTTGTTGTCTCCAATTGTTCAAGCATTGACACCAATAGCTGACATTAGTGTAGAGAGTCAGGTTGCTTTCCCACCACTCCGGTTTTTTTCTTAGGTCCTTAGTAAAGAAAGCTCATCAAGATTTTTTCATTCATACGGCCGTATTTAGCATTTATTAAGATCTAATTTGTCATTGGTGGTATGAAGGTTTTGTACCATACTCCAAAGTCCTCTTTTGCTAGATGGGATGAAAAGCAGGGCAGCTATATTTTCACTATCAAAGATCTTCCTTTCTTTGTAAGTATTTTACTTCACGGCTACTGAAGCTGTTGTAGAATTCCTGCTTTCTACTACTCGCTTGTGTTACAGGTGAATTCAAATGAGTGGCATTTGGATACTTCAATAGCAGCTGGTGGCCGTTCAAAGATTCTGCACTTTGTGGTGTATGTTACTATTAGAAAAACTCCATATAACTCATATGATTAATTACCATAGACTGTGGGATTAAGCTTCTTGGACAATTGGGTGAAATGGGCTGCGGGCCACAGAGTATGTACTCGGGCTAAAGACTCACATAGGTTACTCGATTGGGCCATAAGACAATTGGTTGAACCACAATAAAAGATTGAATTCAATGGATTATCTAGTTCAACTCAAAGCCATATGAGCCCATTATTCTTTCACAAATTTACCGATGTGGAATACTTTAATAATCTTAAAAGTAGGCCCTCGTAAAATTAGAAAAGACTTAACTTTAGTTTTGCTTATTCTCATGAGCATTTTTATCTGAAATAAGAAAAATGTAACACTAATCATTTCCACCTCATTGATTGATTCCAGTTATATCCCATCAGCAGAAGAGTGCCCTCTTCAGTTGCAGCTTCCAAATGGAAAACTTTCAGCGACAAATGGCTTTATATCTCCCGTGAGTATACGATTTTTCAGTACAGTAGATTGCCCTTTTATCTTCCATTATTCATTCTCATACCTCATGAATGACTCCTTTTCAGATGTGGGGAGGAGTAGTTGTTTGGAATCCTCCTGTTTGTTCAAAGAATTCAGGGATGCAACCCCTCAGACATAGGATTCGCTCTGAGGTTAACATTCATATTTATATTGCAAACTTGATGTTTTCTTTGTTTTTGAATATGTGTGCGGTCTGTTATACAGCATCTAACTTAATTAACTGAATTGATTCATGGACTTATTGACACAGGACATCAAGAAGGTTTTTGAAGTATTTATGGGACAGTTTCGACAGCTCTTTGGTCTGAGTTCTGATAGCCTCTATCTTGGCGCTACTACCACATCTAAACTATTAACCAGTGAAAACGGCTTTACACAATGGTCAGGAATGTAAATCTAAAAATTTCATATGATATCAAGTCTTCACTTTTTCCATTTAGGTTTTAATGTACACCCAGCACTCCATGACGCACAGACGCAGTCTCTCTCTCTCTCTCCTGATGCAGTCTCTCTTTTATCTGCTTAAGTTACATCTTGGGACACTTGTTTTTTTCCGGGGTGGTGATAATTCCTTATGAAGTTATTGTGCTGCCAGGCATTAACTAATTATCATTCAACTTGTCTTTTCTCAAGGGAATTGGATTTCATATCACGACAACACACGTGCTTCAATCTTCTACAATGTGGCACCACTCTTGGATCACTTAGTCGATTGGTATGCCATTTTGCTCCTGTTTTTTTAGCTGTTGTACTTTGTACTTTATATTATGTGGCTACTAGTTCCTGAAAAAGTGAAAAAATCTCTCCATTCAGGTTCAGTCACTTCCTAGGATGATCATCATGGATGAGATAGGGAAGCAGGTGAAGCTCTCTCTGGATGCGGCAAGTTCATCCCTAACCAACGTATCATTTGGAAATTATGATGCATCAGCTGGCAAGTTTCATTATACCTCTCATTTTTTATATTCATTTTCCTTTTAAATAATCTCTCGTGAGAGTTTTTGCGCCATTTACCCTTGGACTTTTTAAAAATTGCACCAATGCCCCCTGAACTTTTAAAAATTGCACCAATGCCCCCTGATTTGCAAACTTCTTTTCTTCCAGTTTCATCAAGACAGGCGAGATCATTGGCAGAAGATGCCTTTTACCATCCATCCATGATGTCACTGAGCTACTACTCGTTCGAGCACTGCTTTGCTGTCTATTCGGTAAATATATATAAAAGTGGCAGTGATATATCTTCATTTTTTGAAAAAAAATAAACAGACAAAAAGAACGAAACCCATTTGGTCTTATTCTGGTTTCTTAATTATGTGTTTCTTCAGCCCTTCTTTCTGCCAGTGGCTCTGCATGTGATTCTTGCTGTTATGAGAGAATTGAAAAGATACAAACAAGAAAACAGAAAGTACGTGACATGGAAAGGCTGCTCTACTTAGCTGTGTGGATGGATTTAGTTTCACCCATCTTTTTTAAAATCGAATGCATAATTTTAGTGTAACATATACATTTAAGATTATACAACTAATGAAGAAAAAAATTCTTTATTTATTTATTTTTGTCTCCTATTTTTCATGGATTTGGCCTTATGAAAGAATCTTAATTCATTAAAATACAATTTACTCTGTATTTTAAGCTCATATAGCTCTTGAATTAGGAGCTCACAATTAGTATTATACTTATATTTTTAATGTTTTAATAGTACAGAATATTATTGAGTTTCTCTCCTACGTAGAGGAATGAGAGCCCAAACTATGCATTTTGACTTACATTGACATGGATTTGGAGGAGTATTTTATGAGTCCAATTATTCTCAGGGTATTGTTGTTATATACACTCCTATTTCAACTAATTTTACTATTTTCATACTTAATTGATAATTTTACACTTAAAAATAGGAAAGCGAGAATTTAGATGCTAACCAAAATTAAAGGGCAAAGTTGACCCTTTAACACAAAAGGTAGGGGTGAGCATGGTACGGTATTTAGCCCGTACCGATACCGTACCAAATATTTCGGTTCGGTATGGGATTTTACACCGTACCGATCCCGATCCCGACATATCGGTTCGGTACGGTTCGGGATGGTTCGGTATCGGTTTCGGTACAAATTGGGATGAATATACATACCTACTTTACACCTTAAAGTTTAACAATGCCCCTTTATTTTTGAAAACTAAAAGTGAATTTAAATAAAAAAAAACGTGAAAAATTAAAAAAATGAATATTTAAATGCAAGGGATGCATATCAAAACATAGTTTATATTTCACAAACTAAAAAAATGAACGACAACAAAGGGTTTTTCGAATCTTTGTGAATACTTTTATGTTTATACACAAAAACTAAAACTCAAATAAAAGTATAACTTACACATGATAAAACTTGAACCAATTTTTTTAAAAAAATTACTCCGTATTATTTAGTGAAGGAATATGAAAAATATTACTTCGGGGTATTATTTTTTATAATATTTTAGTATATATGTTCGGTTCGGGATTTTCGGTATGGTACGTCACCTCGTACCGTTCCCAAATACCATACCAACCATTCGGTTCGGTACGGTTCGGTTTCTTCTCGGTACTTTTTCGGTTCGGTATTTTTCGGTTCGGTATTCTCGGTTTTTTCGGGAAATTTCGGTATCGGTTCGGTACTTGCTCACCCCTAACAAAAGGTGTGGGTTTAGCTAAAATGAGAGTCAATATAGAAACACTCTTATTACTATTACTCTGTATTATTATTATCACTCTGTACACTATTATTCTGCACTACTGCAATTCGTGCTTTTTACTCCCATCAATGACTAAACAAACTTGATAAATTTGTGCAGTGTGTTTTTGGATATTTTTCACTTTGAGTGACGATTATTGTGTATTGACTAGTTCGTTATCAAAGTTAAACTTTGACAATTATGTGTGCCTGTAATTGATTTGGACTTTATTGGATGCACCCATTAAATTTTGGTGATTAGTGGGAAGGATTTAGTACAATGTTTACCGTCTCGTGAATTTTCTCTTCTACTTGAAATTTCTACATAAATCTTGGTGTTCGTATATCATTTGATTATATTGTCATTTTATCATTCCGGCCATATGATTTTACTTATTACTCCTGCCCAAATTAAACTGCATATTCCTGTTTAAGATATTTGCCAAAACTCCTTTTCAAGTCAATTTATTTGACAATTAAGACGAAATTTAAAGAAATAAAATTAATATATTTTAAAATTATGCAAAAACTCTACGAAACAAAAGGTTACATCAATACATTATTTTAATAAATAAATAGCAAAAATAAAAAAAAAAGTAGATAAAATTTAACTACATTAATAGTAAACAAAGTTTAATTAAAGATGGAGGAAGTATGACAACATAAAGGAGGAAAACTAACTGCTTCCACTAGAGCTTGAGATATTTTTCCCAACAGATATAATGGAAATTAATTTATTTAATCACATATGATTCCCATTTATGGAACAAATAGTCTTCAAACAAGACCTTTTCATGGGATGGAATGACAATAAATTTCCTTCATGTTTGGGCTAAAGGTATTGTGATTATTATCATGTTGCACCCACATTCCTTCCCCCTCTTTCATTTACTATGCCAACAGAAGATATACTGGCACAGAACATCATAAGCGAATCACTTTTGAACGATAGCGAAAGAATATACATTTTTCAAGCAGAAGAAAAAATGAATTCTTTTTATTGAAAAAAGCAGCAAGGGTGGATATTGAAATGAGTAGAGTAAACCATAATTTAAAACAAGTTTTTTACACATTGAGCAAGAAAAAGAATCATGGTTACACAATAAAACTATAAAGAGTGGCAGAAAAGTATGCTACGGAGTAATAGTTTTTTCCCCTGCTAGACTAGTCATACTTGGTAAATGGTTGAAATCATGGAGAGACCACTTTCCAATGGAGAGACACAAAATGAGCCCATAACAGTTACAGAAGGTGCAGCCGGATTCCCGACGGGCGGACAAACTAGAAGAGATCTCTTTGACTCTCAGTGTTTAGACTCCAAAGCCAGAAGTATCTTCTTTCTTGGGCCCTGAAACAGTCAGACACCAAATCTTGCAGCCATGGTTTTTATTCTCGAACATATACAGGATTTAATATCTTGATCAAGCTTATTCCCCTTAGAAACTAAGTGTCTCACTGGTGAACATGAACTTTCTGTGCACTAGATTGAGAGTTGTTTGGAGGATAAAATGTAAAATGGTATGTGCTGTTCATGAATAAGTCTGAGAGAAAGGTGTAGTCCCAGTGGTTATTCAGAAATCTAATGAACATGCAACATTTTCGTACCAGTTCATTTTCATGCAACATTGGCAGATGATCCATCATTATCTAGCTCATTCGATCATACTATTTTACAAAAAGTTTACAAGGAAAAAATTTTATAAATACAAATTTCAGTCTAATTTTACCATTGGTATTCCCATAGCCTTGAGATCTTCATCTGTCATGTGTATAAGGGCAGCCATATCGACCTGCCAGAAAACAATATAGTTTGGTTATACCTATCCGCCTAAGTGCTTGACACTACATAAGTACATTGGAAACGTGTTGGGAAAATTACATACTTCTTCAGCTTGAAATGTGATTGCATATTTTTCAAGACCCAACGACTGCAGAAAACTATCCACAGATTCAGCCTGCATCAGATTTGCATAAATTACATGAGAGGAAATTAATATAATTTCAGAAATAGCACAGCATAGCAAGTCAATTGGTGGATTTTATACACTCATCCATACTTTACACAATTTGAAATATGTATCACGTGATTTGATTTGTCCGGGATTCCAACAATACAAATACATACTTTTATTGGGAGTGGCATAAGTGGCTTCTGAGTTCTGATGGTGTTCTGGAATTTGACACTATCGGGGGGGATTTAATTTAGTGTTTTATTATTTCTTCAATGATATACTGAAATAAGTGGTTGTTTAACAGCTTTGAACATTTTCCTTTATGTTCTGGACTTCTGGATATGAAATTCACTATCTGGGCTTGTTATTTAGATGTTTCCGGATCGTTCAATATGAACCAATTAACGATAACACTATTGATGCAATTCACAGTTTCGCAGCTATCCATTAATCACAGATCATTTTATATAAAGTAAATGAAAAGAATAAGCACAATATCCAGAATAAGAGTACATGACATGCCACTTGATGGACAATACATAATCAAACTTGATCGAAGTTTCATTAGTTACTATTAGCGAAAACACGCACATAGTGTCAGTAATAGCATTACGTGGGTGCCACAACTCGGATGATATACATTATACATTTTATTAGCTGTACTAAAACATAGCGACGCAAGTTCTACCATACTACCTCTGTCCTAGGGCTGTCAATGAGCCAGGTATGACTATGGACCAAAATCGCTAGGTCCAGACCCCCACCCGTTATAAAGAAAGACCTACTGGGTCTGGGTCTGAATCCGGATCTAGACATTAGTAAACATTACAAAGTTTTTTATTTCATGTTTAGATCCAAATTTATATTTGGATTAAATTTACAGATAGAAAAAATATATACGAGTACATTTTTATGTTATCAAAGTCTTTACATAGTTACTTTTACTAAGATAAATTGAAAGTATTTACTTCAAAATTGAATATATTATTCTAACGCAATCATTCTAAAAAATCTTAAACACTAAACGTCTACACGTGTATTTTAGTAAGTAAACCATAGTTCTTATACTAAATAATATCATAGTAACTATTTAAATCTCAATCTTCTATTTCAACATTTTTAAGTGTATATTACTAATATTTTTCTATAATATCATTCAATTTTTTGTACTTATTATTTATTTATATCGGGCTGATGTCCAGAGTTCCAAACCAGTTTTATAATTTTTAAAATGGATCCCGATCCAAACAGAATTAAATCTACACTATGCTTACAAATAAATTATGGTTACCGGCCGGAATCGGGTCCAAACCAAACCTATTGATAGGCCTACTCTATCCCATATAAAAGTTCTATGTTGGACCAGATGTTTATTTAAAAAGTGAAATTGTGTGATTGAGATGCAGATGAGAAAAAAAAATATGAATCACATATTTCTTTCTTTAAAAAGAAACTAGAACCTTAATTTGGGACACGAAAAAAGGAGAAATATAACCTTTCTCGAACGGGATGTATTTACATATGATTTTCCATAAGATGTGTAAATAGATGGTTAAGAGCTGTTTTTTTGGCTATAAATCTTATTCTACCCCATTCGTGAACTTTTAATTTTTTTAAGGAACGCATAAAGTATAAGCTAGAAGCCTAAGAGATAAACAAAATCATCAATGTGGAGTGCTTTAACTTTTAAGGCTCGCCTCAATGTGAGGCATCCAGGATGGGTATCGTCGTATCGAGGCCTCAACTTACTTGCATGATAAGAGGCTTACACCCGAATGAGTCAAAGCATGCATTGTGAGGTGCAGCTCAAGTCATTTTTGAGTTGGGAGTAATAAGGCCTATATACTCAATGTTATCCCATATAATTTTTCTAAACCCTAATAGATGAGAAGAAATATACTCCCTTTGTCCCGACATAAAGTTCTACAAAGTTTGCTGGATATGGTGATTACTAAAGGTGAAAGTGTGTGGTGGAGTTATGTGCAGAGGTGAGAAAATAGTATAAACCACAAGATTCCTTCCTCAAAAGGAAAGAGGAACCTTTTTTATGGGAAATGCAGTCTTTTTATGGGACCGATGGAGTATTAAATACTCTCTATTTTTCCAGTCCGAGGCTCCATTGGGTAGGGGTGAGCAACTGTATGTTTTGATTAGAAACCAAGAAAACAAATAAAAAGAACCCGAAAGTAAAGGTCTCAGCGTTTCTAAGGGAATTATTTAGATTAGTAGAAAGAGAAAATATCCATCTTGGAAACATAGTGTTAACATAACAATATAATCATGTAAATATTTAGTTGTTAATTAGTAGGTAACCTATTAAAAATTTAACTAGTTCTATATTTTGAGGCTTACGTCTCAAAGCGCCTCAAGGCTTACGACTCACCTCTTTGAAGCAAACTGCTTTGACACAGCCCAAAAATATCTATAAAATTCTAACCGTTTTTAAAATCAGTACTCTAACATTAAAGCAATTGAATAAATACAAACTGAAATGCAAGTTAAGACTAAGAAAAAATAATACTCTGTAATACATTGATGTTGCTAGAATGCTACTAAAGTATCCTTTTTATAGCATCAAGAGAAAAATATTCACAACAAGAAGACTTTTAAAAGTGTAGCAAGAGGAAATTCTGACCTTCTGCTGACTCTTCTTCTTAGAAGTTGTGCTGGCACCTTTCTTCGTTTCCAATGTTGGGGTATCAGCAACCATACTCTTCTTAAGAGGTTTACTGACCTCAAATGCTGAATTTGGCTTTGGTTTGGATTTATCAGCCTCCGCACCAGAGAGCTTTTCACGTAGATCCCTCACACTTCGTTTCTGCAGCTTAAGACGAAGGTCCTTTGCACCAAGTTTGCGACCTGTGCAATGATTATGGAAAAAGCTTTGCCATAAGAACATATATAGCAAAAAATAAAAATCAATCATAATAGGATAAACTGTTGGTGGATAGGACATAGCAAGATTGCATCATAACATACTTGAAATTTGAGCTGTGCCGTGCTCGTATAGGTCATGTTCCCATTTGTCATCATCTTCCCTGAGTCTGCACAAAAAAGGACGAACATCCTAAAGCCATCTGCCTATGGAAAGGAGAAAACCATTGCGACCCAATTTGTTTCTTATTCCACTAAATTTAGGTGGAAAAAGTATGTTACGCTAGCATAAAACAAAGCCTTTCGGAACAAATTACATAATCCTTGCAAAGTTTAACACTTCTTCACATCCTTATAACTCAAAGCTTGGAAAAACAGCAGGATAAGCTATCAATGAATTCAAAATTCAACTTTTTTGACTGAAAAACTTGGGAGAGAGTAAAATTCAAAAACGCCCCACATACATAGCACCCTCGCATACACATACACACAGGAGGCGAAGTGTCTGGCTAGAGAGAAAGAGAAAGATCGAACCTCTTGCCGGTGATTTGTTGTCGGCGACCAGAGCCACCAACTGATTTTCCGATGAGCCTGTCTCTAACTGAAAGCCTGTCGCCAGCTTCCACTCGATCAGCATACATTGTAAAGATTACTACTAATGGGGCGCCTGGAAGAGCTAGAAAGCTTAATTCGCAGCTTCAAACCCTAACGCCAAAACTAATACTGCATTCGAATCTGGAGGTGAAAAAAATTGAATCTTTATATGATATTCGGAATGGCGATTACAGAAGACGGGGAGTTGTCGGAGGCATAGTGCTCTCCCGGTGCGATGGTGAATCGTTGGCGGGATTGTGGGATGTATGGTTCTGCAGAGATTTTATTATGCTCGACAATCTGAGCAGCCCAATTGAAAGGAGTCGGGTCAGCCCGGCTTTCCAAATGTCAATTCCAATATGCGCCGGTTGCGCCCCCAAATTCCAAAGAGCCTTTCGTGTCTTTGGCTCTTTGCATCTAAAATGCTTGAGTAAATTCATATTAATACAAAATAAATTCATTGTAAGAGCATGAGCAATGATAAGTAGAAAATGGAATGACATACGCTGAGGTTTAATATTTTAACCAATTAAAATCAGTCTAGTTGTGTGTGGCAAGTGTATAGAGCGGTATGTCTTGAGAGCAGATTGCCTCGCACATGCCTTACAAGGCAAGGTGAAATGCCTTTGTCACGCCATGACTTTGGAGAATTGGAGAGGTGGCAGGGCGAGGCATTGTAATCCTCACCGCTACATTTGCTCTAGATATACACTTCTCCTAGCATTTATAAACCTAAGAGCACTGAAAATATATTTGAAGCCCGGTGTCTCAAACCTAGTTTTCAAATCTTCTCTCTCTGCCACATCAGTTTTAACGTGTTTTAACTTATCTCACAGTTTTACTAAGAATAGTTTGAAGTCCAGAGTTCCAAATTGGGATTTCAAACATTCTTTTTTTGGTACACATTTTGTAAAAGTAAATTAATAAGATTCTATTAATTAATTAACTTTAAACCGCAACAATGCATTCAAAAAATACATTCAATACGAAAAGTACATTAAATTTTAAAAAATACATTTATAAAAAACTAACACATATTATATTGAGCTTTGATCTTGTTTTGTTTTTTCTCGTAATACATTCTTTCGAATTCCGTTAATGAATTAAGGCCGATTTCCATTATTTCAAGCTCCTCCTTCTCTATCCTCTGTTTCTCCCTCTCTTCTTCCCTAAGATTGAACAACCGCAGTGGTTCAAATAGTTGCAGGCCATTATCATCGTGAGAGAAACCCTTAGTCAATTGATTTAGCTTTCTTTCTTCCGATCGGTCGTGGAATGGAGTCCTCGTCATTAGAGTTATCTAGGTTGAGGGGATGCCTTTGTTCCAACAAGCCGATAGAGTCCTTTGCATTAATCCCGGCGCAAGATCTTTTCTTTGACGATCTAGCCTTGGGGTTGCAGAGTTGTTGCAATTTCGATGAACAATTTAAAACTTTTCACAAATCAATGGGGACTGTGCCTTGGTGTTCGTCGTCTAGATACTGGGTGGTGGCTAGTCGCAGGATATCAGTATTATTTGTCTCGCTTTTCTTGGAATGGGCGCATTTCTCGTATACTCTTATTAAGTTTTGGACTTTTCTGTTTATGTGGCCTCATTTGGAAATGTGTTGGTCTCGGGTTAAGTAAGAGGGGTCCTTGTCAATTGTGGTAAAGAACTTTTTCCTCAATACGGTCTCACATCGCATCCCTCATTTGATTAGAACTTTTAAGAAATAGTATAAACCCTTGAGCAAAGGTTCAAGGATAGCATTTCAAATCCTTGGGGGAACGGTTGAAGATAGTCGTGAAATGTTGTAGCAAAATCTTGAAGTGAATCCTATTGGAAATGTTTGTTTGCCAAACTAGTGTGGTGCTTTGACGGAGTTCAAGAGGACCGAGACTTGGTGCATTCGAAATTCCTTAAGGAGGAGCCTTAAGGAACTAGAGTAGGGAGTTCCCGAACTAGTATAAAATTGGTGTGTCTTTACTTTACGCCTTTATTTCTCCGTTTTATCTATTGCTTCCACATTTGCCAACACCAATTTTACTAAACTCTGAAAAGTTTTAAACGTCTTATTCACCACCCTCTACGGAGTGGGCACACCATACCGAATAACAAGTAGAATCGGAGCAGTTTCGTAGTTGAAAGTGTTTAACCGCATCTACAATAAAGATCTATTTGTGTCCATTTTAAATTAAATTTTAAAATCTCAACATTTTACAATACCTGATTTTTAAAATTTAAATTTTGAAAAATGGTCTTAATGTAATCCCAAAGCATTTACTGCCCTCCAATTTTCAATTGTCAAAACTATTCTTATTGGAAAATGCAGATGGAGTATTATATATTCAATCCATTGATTTTGATTTGTGGTTGAATATACTTCACGGGCCATTTGTACCGAGAAATGGTGATCTTGCAGGGTTGTCGGCCGAGGACAAGAGAATGCTTTCAATGAATACAAAAGCAATTAATATCTTGCATTGTTCTCTTGGTCCCGACAAATTCACACGTGTTTGCTCTTGTAAAATGGCTAAGGGGTGTGGGATCTACTCCAAGCTACACATGAAGGAGACATCTCAACAAAACAAACCATGTTTGTCCTAGGAAACTCAGAATATGAATCCTTCTAAAAGGCCAAATGAGACGATTCAAGATATGAACAAGAGGTTCAACGAAATTGTCAACAAGTTAAGTTGGGTAAGACGTATACTACTTCCAAGTTAAACACAAAGATATTACTTTCTTTACCAAAAGAATGAAATAGTAGTATAGTAGATTTATTACCCAATCGTGAAAAGGCTGAAACTACCCACATTTGGTCTTCCTTATATTCTCACGAACTTTTGATGAACAAGATCAAAAAGGAAGAACTACATGAAAACCCCAAACTCACCAATGCTTTCAAGGCATCCAAGGATGAGTCTAGAGATGACTCAAGTGACTCAAGCGAAGAGTCGAGTGAAACAGATGAAACATCTCGTGGCTCAAGCGACGAGTCAAGCGATGATGATGAAGATGAGGCAATGAAAATGAAATATAAAGATTTCCTCAAATGGAAGAGGTATGAACACTTCAAGAGGAAAGAAAAATTCATAAAGCCTTCCAAGCCAAAGAAAGAACAACATAAGCTAAGATAAGTCTTTTCTCACTTATTGGGATAAGATATTATGTTTGTTTTTAATTGTTTTAAAAAATAAAACCTTATCATATATGTGTTTTGATTTGTTTTTAGCCTTGGTTTGCATGATTAAATAATTTTTCAAAATCCATTTTAAAAATCATGCCTTTCAAAAATTATCCCCAAGAATCCATGAGAACAAATTTTTTAAACTTGCATATATTTTAGGGGGAGTATTTTTTATTTTAAGGGAAGCTTTGTTGTACATGCACCTTTATGCCCGATGATCACCAAACTATCATTATTCTTAAATACTCCCTCCGTCCGGAAATAATCTTCCCATTTCTCCTTTTCTTCCGTCCGGAAATAATCTTCCCATTTCTAATTTTAACCACAATTCTTCCAAAAATATCCTTATCATTCAATTTTATTCACTCTCTCAAACTCCCCTAGATCTACCCTCCCCGTCCCCCACCCTTTTCTCTCTTCTTAATTTTTTTCTTTCTTTCTTCTTCTTTCTCTCTCTCTTCCTCTTCCCCAGTCCATCTCTTCTCTTCTTTTCCCCCCTCTGTTTTTCTTCATCTTTCTCTTTCTCTCTTCCTCTTCCCCCGTCCATCTCTCCTCTTCTCTTCTCTTCTCTTCCCTCCTCTGTTTTTCTTCTTCTTTTTCTCCCCCTTCTATCTCTTCCATCTCTAGATCTGAGCATGGCGGCGACGATTGTGACAGTGATGGCGGCGGCAATTGAGGCGGTGACGGCGGTGGTGATGTGAGTCTAGATCTGCATTTCTTCGTCTTTTTCTTCTTCATCTTCTTTTAGATCTGCACTACGGTGGTGGGGTAGGTGGGGCTGGAGGTGAACGTGGGGCTGCCGCCGATGGTGAGGCTGCCAGCGGTAGTGAGTGGCGGCGATGGTGAGGAGAAATGAGATGTGGTGTGACAGGCGGCAAAGGAGGGGCTAGGGGCGACGGTTGGGCCGGGACTGGTAAGGAAGGAGAGGGAGGGTATTTTAGGAAAATTACACTCAAAGTCAACCCTTCAAAAAAATGAAGAAAAGTCTAAATGGGAAGATTTTTCCCGGACAGAGGGAGTATTCAGTTTGATAGGGGGAGGGCTTTCAAGAAGTTATAGATGTTTAAAATTTTCAAACTGTCCTTTTTTATGTTGACAAAAGAGAGAAAAGATGTATACTTCAAAGTGGTGCATAAGCAACTTGACTTGAGTGCATTATTGTGTGATTATTTTCATCAAACTTAAACTTTTAATAAACACAAGAAAAATTTAAAGTGAGTATTTTCAATACGCTTATTCGTAGGGGGGCTTGCTTGCTTTATTATTTTTACTCCCACCTAACTCACTTTGAAGTTTATTGTTTGTCAACATCAAAAGGGGGAGATTGTTAGCCTTAGTTGGCTAAGGCTCGTGTTTTGATGTTAACAAATAATATAAGAGCTAACGTTTGCTTAAGTGTTTCAAGTACAACAAGAATCCATTAAGATTCGGCTCTCAAGAATGACGTCGATCGAAACACTAAACTAGTTTAGAATATAGGTACAAAAATATGAGGATATGATTTTATATACCCATATTCAAAATCTCAAAAGCACTCACAAAATATGTTTAAAACCATCTCATAATTATTTTCAAATATCCAAAAAGTTTTAAACTCAAAAGGGAAGGATTAAGCAAATTTTGGAAAAACCAGTTAATGCGTGCGATACCCCTAACGGTACCCCACTACAGTCTCACGTAGGGTATATTGCCCACACGGTACCCAGGTACCGGGATAGCCTACGTCCCGCCAGAGCTGGTTAGTTTTTTGAAGATACACGATACCCCTAGCCGGTAGGGCATACCCTGGTCACAGTACCCTGCTACCGGATGATACTATGCTACCGTGACAGGTACCGTAGCCATTGCAGTTACTATTCCCGATGGCAAAATTTGAATTAAGTCAATCCTAATCACCTCCTAACGGCTAATTATCACCTTTCACTATAAATACAGGCCTAATACTTCATATTTGAACAAGAAACCAAGCTCCAAACATCTCACTTTCATATTTTAAGTGTGTTCATCTTTTTTCTTCTTTATTTTCAATATTTTGGCTATTTCAAGAGCCTTATTCTTCTGAGCTGTATACACACACTTTTGAGCTTGTGGTTTAGATATATA